TCTCGAGAAGCAGTGGCTGTAAGCCAAGGCTCTCTAGGATAAGATATCTGGAGTTTGGACCATATCCAGGCGCGTGAGCCCAGCGATTCGTCTCAGAAAGCCCATTTCAGTTGATTTTATTTGGAATCGAAGTTTATCAGTTATGTGCCATAATTTAAGACAGTAGGAAAACATACGGATGTAACATACGGAAAACATACGGAAAACATACGGACTTTAACACAAAAAACACAGTCTTGAGATTCGGAGCTCCCTCACTTCGGGCTTGTTCACACAGAACTCGCTAGCGGTTCTGATATTCGCCCATTTTCGAGGTCCAATAAACACGAACGTCAGGAAGTGAACGTATCTAGTTGTCTCACTTCTTCTCCATTTACCTGCAGATCATAAGAGGCAGAAGAACGAGACAGCATTAGGAATTTCTTCTTAGAGGTGTTTACACGTATGCCGGTTACATTGCACTCAACTGCGAATTTCTCCAAAATGAGCAAAGGTCAGTTTCAACATGTGTCAGCGAAACAAGGTCATCTGCAAACAGCAAACTTCACATCTTCACACCTCCAGTGCTTATGCACTTATCACCCTGGCTGCGCCTAACTTTCCTGTCCATGTACAGCAGAAACAAGTGAAGGGACAGAACGCAGTCTTGGTGAAGACCAGTGCCAACGTTGAAAGGTTTCGACTCAACGCCATTTACTCTGATGTAGCACCTGCAATCGACATATGGCTACTGAATGGTTAGTAACAAGTGACCATCTATCCCATGTGAAAAAGGGTAGTTTGCCTGAATTTGTTTTGAATTAAGGGATGATGACATCTCTCAACTGCTGGATTTATAGCAGACCAGTAGCTCTAAATGTAAGAAACATATTCAGAATACAATTTTCCGAATTTCATATTGGCATCTGATCAGATATATTGATCTTTTGGCAGTATCCGAGACATTGTTCCCGCAAGTAGCTACCTGAGAAGCAATTCTGCTTTGAATGATGCCGCAAATCATACAAAATAAAGTTGCATTCATTCAGTTTCAAAGACAGTCATTATTTTTGGATTGCGAGAGTAGCTGCTAAGCGACAACTTTCAATATGTCCATTATGCTGCCAGCAGATGAATCTGATAGTGTCGATTTCAAGACATGACAATGTCATATCTTTAAAATCGCCATGCGCTACCCTTCGATCGTCGTCCCTCTGGCCCTGTCAAAAGAGTTGGCCTCGGGAGTCCCTCGTGTGGTATCCCTATCGAATGTTCAGAAAATCGCAAGTGTGATTTGTCGACCAGCAGATGGAGCGGCTTACAAGTGCGGATATCTCGAACTACGGTGGTTTAAATCTATAAAACTCTCACTAAAACAACGGTAACCATGCAACAACAACCCTCAATTCTTCTGCTTCTATTCGGCATCACACTCTTTCAATCAGTATTCATGACCGTAAACGAATTTGAGCACGTAGAAAGCCAGATGACTTTTCACTCCCATTCAGCTTCCTTGTTCATTACCCCATGGGGTTTAACAGCCGCAATGTGGCAGTCGTGTGGAGAATCAGTGCATCTATTTATAAAGCTTGCTTATCACCACTCTCGTGTACAAGATGAAGTAGCAAAATTTCCCTAGATTCAGAAAAAAATGGTTTGAAGCATGGAATAAATACATTTAGTAAGTGAACATTCAGAACACACAACGCTGTTCCTTTTTAGCATAAATTATTAATATGCATAAAAAATAGCGCAGTTCTGAAGAAGACAAATTACGAAATAATGAAAGACATAAGAAATGAAAGAATGAAAGGAAAAAGCGGAAATTAACGAAACTTAAAAAGTAAGTAATAAGTTAATGATTAAGCGGTAGAATTTAAATGACTTAGATGTTAGGTTACATGGCGTGGTTACAACTAGTCGAATGATCTTTGAAGCATAATTCATTGCTTCGTCTGCTGTAATCTCACTTGAAGTGATACAGTTTCTATTGTTCATACTAATCTTCATTTACTTTTTTCGTTCTCATTCATATTTGCTTCTCCATCTTTTAATTCCTTCATTTCTTATGCGTTTCATGTCCTTTCTGCTCTTTTTTCCTTGATTATCTTAAATTTCTTCGTTACAATGCCTATGATATACCTGCTGATCTTTATGACTTTGGGACAATGTCATCTTACTCTAATTTACACCTAATTAATTTACGCTGAACAAAGAACACTAAACTGGGTTCCGAAAGCATCGCTTATTAAACATATTTGTTTCAGACTTCCAACCGTCTTTCATAATCTATTATTATTAGAGTCTGTTTGTTTTTTTCGAAATAATGATTCTCCACTTGCTCCATATGCATGGAATTCACCTGCAGAACAAACTGAAATCCATTCTGGAAAGTACACGAATTTCAGTAGCGAAGAGACGATATACATTTGAGCTCATCATTTGATGCAGCCAACAGCAAAAGTCGTTTTGCTATCGTTAATAGCAGAATATCCTGTCAAACTTCCTCAATTCTACCAAAGTTTTCCAAGATTGAGATGCGCCCAAAATTATGAACATGGAATTAGTGCTGTTTGTTCAGTAATTTTTGTGTGGCTTTTCATTCATCCATTCATTCATCGATCCGTCCATATACGAAATCAGTAGTACCTCGCTGAGGCAGCAGTCTATAGAGACAGACCCTTTCAATGATCCTTGTTTTCAGTCGATTGGACGAGGTTCACTGGCCGGACTGCAAGGCACGACAATGGCAGAAGTTTGAAATACTTGAACTATCAGACCCTTGGCCCCAATCCCTGTCCTTCTGATTCCATGTCCCTGCCACTGGATTAAGCAATGAAACTCCGCAAACATGAAATTCACCGTTCCTCTGTAGGCAGTGATTATTCCCGATAATCGTGAAGATTCTAATAGATAAATTATTTTGATAGTAGACATTCGATATACTTTTAGGGAAGTCACAAACGGGAAGACAACGCATAAAATGGTCTTTAATAAGGGACATCTGACGTTTTGGATCAAACTCGGACCGTCTTCAGAGTACAATCAGTACAGCGAATCGTGTAGAAATAGAAATTGTGTACGATTTTCAGTAGACATTTGTTATGACAAATAAAACCAAGGTTCTTAAATGTAACTATGTGAACTGTCCCTAAACCACTCAATTTACAACTTGGTAGATCAGACTCTTTCGGAGAGCCATCACACCGCCAAGCTTGAAGATTTCTCGTTATGTTTATTACGGTCGCCGTCACGGATCATGGCATGCCACAGTATATTCACTGACCGAGCTTACCGCAGGTCAGGGATCCAAACACCAACAATATCCTTAAAAATCCTAAATCAGGAGATTGTTGATAAATAGCTTAAGTTCGCTCATTCGGTTTACATGCGCTTGGTAGACCTGTAGAATGCTCTTGATCGGATCTCGTGCAACAAGCTATGGTCATGCCTGCAAACATACGGAATCGACAGTCAGCTGCCATGAGCCATCCAGTCACCACATTCTGATAGAATCTGCTGCATGGGAGTAAATGGCGTAAGTTTAGTCCTTTCAACGTTGGCACTGGTCTCCGCCAAGGCTGCGTCCTGTCCCCTCTCCTGTATGTGTTGTACATGGATAGAATAGTCAGGAGCTGCCAAGGCGATGAGTGTATCGGTGTAGGAGATGTGAAGACGAGAAGATTGCTGTTTGCAGACGACCTTGTTTTGTTGGCATCCCTTAAAAGTACCCTGCTGAGTGCGACGTGACTGGCATGAATGTGAACGCATTTAAAACGTAAAGCCTAGTGCTTTCTCGTTCTCGTGCCCGTTGCTCTCTTCAGATTAACTGTTAGGCGGTGGAGCAGGTGGAGAAGTTCAAGTACCTCAGATTCATATTTACTAGTGATGGAACATTTGAGGAAGCGATCGACTGGCAAACTGAAGTAGCCAGTGGCGTTCTATGTGAACTTACCTGAACTACTGTAATGATATAAGCAGAACTGAAACTGAAAACTAAGTTCTCGATGTTCAGGTCGATCTTCATCCCCATGCCTACCTACGGTCATGGGTCATGACTGTTCCATGGTACACACGGTTGAAATGGGCCTTCTAAGACGAATCGCTAGCCTCACACGTCTCGAATACAGATTTCAGGGAGAGAGAGCCTTGGTGTACATCTGCGGCTATTCCAGATGAAAAGTCATCATAACTGGAATCGCTTGTTCACATCTTGTGAATGCTTCCAGAAAGGAAGGCGAAGCAGTTGCTACTTGCCCAAACGACCAGCGGAAGTCCCCGAAGACGGTCAGTAATGAACTGAGGCAAGTGTATCGAGAGACTCTGCTCCATCCTCAGGTTATTTTCCGCTGAAACTCAAATGATCGCAGAGGATCAGGAACGTTTGAAGTACTGTCTGGCGCGTCTGCGACCTGAAAGAACAAACGATCATCGAAATTGATTGACTGATACTTGTGAATACCGCACATTAGTATGTTTGAACTGTAATAACCTTCCTGTATGTCTTATGTTTTATGCCGTATTTATGTTCTTGTCTATTCTGTATACTACAGATCAGCTTTTG